TTTTTTACAGCTACACTCCGTGACCCTATATGAATACAATGAAATAATTTGATCGTCAATTTAAAATATAATACATTTAAAATATTATATTTTTCTAACAAAATAAGTTTTTTATTTTATTTTTGTAAAGACTTTGCGAGACGAATTTTATAAATTCGTTGCGCAAAGTCATGCAAAGATTTTTATAAAAAAAAATTATTTTATTTATTTTTGTAAAGACTTTGCGCGACGAAATACACTTCGTCGCGCAAGACTTTGTGCATCGAATTTTATTGTTTCGTTGCGCAAAGTCATGCAAAGATTTTTACAAATAATTTTTTTATTTTCTTTATTTTTGAAAAGACTTTACGAGACGAACCACACTTCGTCGCGCAAAGGTTTGTCGTGCAAAGTGACTTTGTGCGACGATTTGTGTTTCGTTGCGCAAAATTTAGTCGCGTAAGACTTTGAGCGACGACGTTTCATTTTCGTCGCACAAAGTCACTTTGAGCGACGGATTGTGTTTGGTCGCGCAAAGGGTTTTTTTTACTAGTGATATTGGCTTTAGAAATGTTAAGGAGCTAAATGTCACCCCTAGAATTATTTTCCAATTCTTCACAGACATACACATATACATATATTATTATACTAAAAAGATGAATATATCTTTATACATGTGATTCTAGAAATGGTTAAAAGCTCTAACCATCTGCAGATGGGATCCAGCCTCATCGTTGATCTCCTTGTTGGTGAGAATGACATCTTGCGATGTCTCCAATGAGGTCAAAATGTACATATTGAAAACACTAATCCAAAGGAATTATGTGTCAATGTTGTGTGTCCAAATAGCATTACTCATTATTTAAACCTTTCATTCTTGTTACAATCTAGGACACATCTCTTACACTTTGAGATCGTACCAACTACAAGGTTTGTTAATTATATTAGCTTGGTTCATCCTTGGTTGAGATCTAAAGTCCTTTTTTCTTCTGTTTCAGGAAAATCTAAGAAAAGAATAACTTTGAATATTGTTGAATTCCCAGATCGATATGGAAAAGTAAGCTATCGGTTTACCCTGATTGTAATGAACAACTTTTTCTTTTTAGATTTGACATTGAGTTTGATATTCTTTTTTTTACTTCCTTGTGATGTGAACTTTTCTGGCAGTGGCAGGCAAATCACGGAGGCGCTCCAACTGTATCTACATGCCCAGAGACGTCTTCGTGAACAGTTGGAGGTACATACAAGAGATCCATTGCACGACTTTTATATATTCGAAATTCTTGTTACCACCTTTTTATTTTACTCTGCATTAATTAGAGTTGTTTTTTAGGTCAAGATTTCTGTAAACTGGTTTATGAATGACAAACATAAACCAAATCAGTCTAGCAATTCTCAGGGCCAATAGAAATCAGAAAAAATAAATCTATGAACTTGATGGACTTCCATATTACAGAATTTCATAAAAACAAGGAAATTCATTTTCACTTGTGCTTTACAGTTCAGAGGAATTTACAGTGTCGAATCATAGAACAAAGGAAGCAACTCGAGAAGATGTTTGATCAACAAAAAACTAGTAATAACTTGTTGAAAACACAGACCTTGGACGTTCCGTGCAATGAAGATGGCCCATCAAATAGTCTTTGTGATCCTCAGGTTTCAGCTTATGAAGGCTCTGGAAACACTCAACTTTCCATTCAAGATAAGTCAGCCCAAGAAAGCAAATTGTTCAATGCTCATTCTCACACATAAGTCCTCATAGGGTTCTAAATCCCAGCAAAGTTCCAGTCACAGAACCTTACAAGCTACTGCATCATGCCATACAAAAGGCTACGATCCTAAACATATAGAAAGACTCTTGTTATTGCAACAATGGCTTATTTTTACCATAATGTTTTCATGCTTTTCGTGTATTCAAACTTGCAATTTTGTACTGTGTGTCTTTATTATGCAACTGCTCCACACACCCACCTTAAAAAATTATAAATAAATAAATAAAACTGAATTTTTTTCAATGAACAAAATGCTAAAATATGAATATGGTTTGAATACTTTAGGTTAAGTTTTATTCTTCTCCATAAGAAGGTATTTATGAGTTTACATGAGTGCTTTACCAGGAAATAGATACAGTAATCAATTAGGATAGTATCTCCTAATTATACAATGATTTGTCAACTATATAAAATAAGAAAGTAAATCCCTTAATTAATCAAGGAAATAAATCTCCTTGATTAATTAGGAGACTCACATCAACACAAAACTCTTCATGAGGATTTGAAAAAAGAAACACCAAGAACAAAAGTATGACACAGGCAAAAAAACAAAAAAGCGTTTCTCCCAGGATTCCCGAAGGAAAAATAGGTCAAAATACTACCATATGCCATATTAGAAGCACATGTTCTTAACAAAGTTAAGGAGTTTGTACCTTATTTATGGTAAATCATCGAGCCAATTATCTTCTCTCTAACATTTTGAAGGTGGTGATATAAGGCTTTGGGTAGAGACACTATCACAATGGATATAAAAGTGAAGAAGTGTGTTTCCATAACAATTGAAATTGCTGGTGTACCATTTATGTCCTGCATGTGAGAGCCAAATGACGAGTAATTTTTGGGACAAACACATGAAATTACTAACTTTTATTGACAAATGTCAATATTATATTGAAAATGACGCATTAATTTACAGCAAATTATTAGTGTAATATTTTCCTATTTTCACAAACACATATATATTAGGTGTATTGGTAACTAGGGGTAGGCATGGGTTAGGTTGGGTCGGTTTTGGTCCCAACTCGTAACTTAACCCAATATATAGTGGTTTATGATTTCTTAGACCAAAATCAGCTCATTATTAGGCCAATCCAATCCAACCCAACTTTTTTATGATTGGATTGGGCGGTTTGGTCTGATTAACTCAAAATTAAGCTCACTGTTAAGTTTTGGTTTAAACCTGTAACTCAACCCATACAAAGTGGTTTATAATTTTATGAACCCATGACTCATTTATTATTAGGGCAACCCAACCCTCAAATGATCGGATTAGGCGGTAAGGTTGTGTTACCCGAATTGTGCCCACCCTTATTGGCAATGACGGATCCACACTCCAACGAAGTGCTGATTTTAAAGACTAAGCTTAATTGCACTCCCAATCTAGATAAATCAAATATTAGCTCATTTCTCTATGTAGAAATAAGCTCACCTCTTTGTAAATCAAATATACTCCCAACCATTGGATTGAATTTGGAGCCCGTGTGATGCAACTTTCGAGAGCTTTTTGGGACAAACACATGAAATTACTAAATTTTATTTACAAATGTCAGTATTAATATTATATTGAAAATGACGCATTAATTTACAGCAAATTATTAGTGTAATATTTTCCTATTTTCACAAACACATATATATTAGGTGTATTGGTAACTAGGGGTAGGCATGGGTTAGGTTGGGTCGGTTTTGGTCCCAACTCGTAACTTAACCCAATATATAGTGGTTTATGATTTCTTAGACCAAAATCAGCTCATTATTAGGCCAATCCAATCCAACCCAACTCTTTTATGATTGGATTGGGCGGTTTGGTTTGGTTAACTCAAAATTAAGCTCACTGTTAAGTTTTGGTTTAAACTTGTAACTCAACCCATACAAAGTGGTTTATAATTTTATGAACCCATGACTCACTTATTATTAGGGCAACCCAACCCTCAAATGATCGGATTAGGCGGTAAGGTTGTGTTGACCCGAAATTGTGCCCACCCCCATTGGCAATAGCGGATCCACACTCCAACGAAGTGCTGATTTTAAAGACTAAGCTTAATTGTACTCCCAATCTAGATAAATCAAATATTAGCTCATTTCTTTATGTAGAAATAAGCTCACCTCTTTGTAAATCAAATATACTCCCAACCATTGGATTGAATTTGGAGCCCGTGTGATGCAACTTTCGAGAGCAATCAATCAACCAACCTAACTCAAGCATGGCTTTGACAGCTTCTTGGGTTGGTAGCTGTCAGTTTTTCCTCAATCACTCACACACTCTCTCTTTTCTTTATCTTCTTTCTCTTCTTTTTTTCTTCTTTCCTTCTTTCCTTCTTTATTCTCTCTCTGTTTCTCTCTCTAATTTTTTTCCTGCGTTTCTCTTTTTTATTTTTATGCGTTTCTATCGTTTTCTACATTTATCTCTTTGTCTAGGTGTTGATGGAGCTAAGAACCACACCATCGTTCCAACAACTGCTATAATAGATCTCGGGGAATAAAAAATTAGCCGACCTCTATAAAAATTCATGGGTCCGCCATTACCTATTGGTAACTACTTGGTTACTTTAATTTCCTAGGCTTTTTAATGTATTAAAGCAAAATTATTTCTAGAACATAAAATTACGGTGCTTAATATGATTTCTTTATTCTCCCTCAATTTCTTTTTCCTGCATTTTTATTTTTTAATTTTTATGCGTTTCTATCGTTTTCTACATTTATCTCTTTGTCTAGGTGTGGATGGAGCTAAGAACCACACCATCGTTCCAACAACTGCTATAATAGATCTCAGGGGAAAAAAAATTAGCCCACCCCTATAAAAATTCATGAGTCCGCCATTACCTATTGGTAACTACTTAGTTACTTTATAAGAACTTACTTTAATTTCCTAGGCTTTTTAATGTATTAAAGCAAAATTATTTCTAGAACATAAAATTACGGTGCTTAATATGATTCTTGAATTCATGTACCGTGAGTATTCTTATAGCATGGGATAGGAGAGATGGAAGGTAGATATATTAGGTTAAAATGTTCTTCATTTCCTATTATGTTATCCTCACCGGCCTTTTAGTAATAAACAAAAAGTCAAATATTTATCTATATATTCAGTTGGCCACGACAGCGAATTTGCCCTCCTGCACAAAGTTGGAATCTCTTTTCCCAGTAATATTAAAACATAATTTTGTTCTTTGAAACAAGCAATATGAGCAGAGAATCGAAATAGGAATTGAGGTGCAGGAATTCAAAAAACAAAACAATATCCGAACTGGATTTAATGGTCGGTTTGGATTGGGCTGGTTCGGCCCATATTAGAATTCCCATCACATACATAGAACAAAATTTAGGAAGAAGAAGAGCCACATGCCCTAACGAGTAAAACAAAACAGAACAAACCGCACGCACTGCTCTGTTGCCGCGACACAGAGAGAGAGAGAGAGAGAGAGAGAGAGAGAGAGAACAGAACAGTAAGCAAATGGAAGACGTAAAGAAGAGAAAGATAGAAGAGGCTTCGGGCAACGGTGAAGAAATCTTAACATATTCAGAGGACCACTTGCGCTCCTTGCTTGACCCTCTTGCTAAACCCCAGCTCGTCGATCTCCTCGCTAAACTGTGCGTTAAACATTTTAATTTGTGATTTTTCTGAATTGGGTTTTCAATAATTTCTATATGTTTTCTAAATTTGATCCCTTTTGTCTTGATATTTCAATAATGGGTCATTGAATTTGAATATTGAGCTCCATTTTGCATGTGAGAATGCTTTGTATGGTGTACACGGGGTCCCTAAGAGAATTGTGTGGCTGTGTGATTGACTCTGTGCATGTGGTGTTTGGTTGCATGTTGAGGGGCATATAGAGGTTCCCAATATCCTTCAATTGCAGAAGAAATTAAGGGTGTTGCTAGTGCAGATCCTGTTCATCGAAAGCTTTTTGTTCGTGGGTTGGCTTGGAATACCTCATCAGATACCTTGCGTGCTGTGAGTGCATTGCTCGTTGTGCTTTGCATGTCATGCTTGTCTCACAACTGCATATCATATTGACTTAAAGACACCCAATTTGTCAAAAGAATGTATATATACGTATATATGATATGACCATGAAGCCTTGTTGTATTGTGCTGAACATTCATTGAAGGGTCTTTTCTGTTTTTGTTGTTCAGGCATTTAGTGAGCATGGAGAAATTGAGGAAGGGGCTGTCATCTATGACAAAGCAAGCGGGAAATCACGCGGCTATGGTTTTATTACTTACAAGTATATGGAGTCAACTCAGCATGCGCTCAGAGCACCTAGCAAGTTGATTGATGTAAGCATTTACCACATTGCGAGTCTAATTTCATTCGTTCGTTCAATTTTTCCATCTGTGAATACATACGCATTAAAAATAGAATTTGGTTTTTTGCTTTCTCTAGATTCTACCAGGTACATAAAGTAGGGTCGTGTTCATTTGAGTAAGGACGTGTTGACTGTGTATTCTCATGGTGTGTACAGTAGGATTTCCAACCAAGCTACCCTAATAGTGAACTAGAAACATAAGGGTAACTTGGTTGGAAAGCCTATTATTCCATTTTGGTCCTGAAACTCTGAGTTGTTTTCATTTGAGCTGTGGAGCATAATCTTATGAGGAAAAGGAAATGGAATTTAATGGTATTATCTGAATTATGTATTTCTATTACAAAAGGTTATATGTGTGAGGTTGGCTATCTGTCAAATATTAGTAGTTTTTTCTATTTGAAAGAGCAACAATGTAAACTGTTAAAGAAAAAAAGAACTGAAGTAAAGTTATTTTGTAGTTGCCCCTTTTAATTGTTACTTTTCGGCCTTTATTAGAGGATACGGGCTTATTATGGTTTTTGTGGTTAACATGATTAAGGAAACTAGTATAACTTTTAAATTATTTTGGCCTATAAGGTTAGTTAACTAAATGCTAGTTAACAAAATTCTTTATAGGGTAATTACATATATGTTCTTAAGAAAATTGAATGGGAAGTCAACTTTAGTTATAGAGACAATATTATAACTAATAACAAACGAGAGATGGCCAGGTGACATTTTTAAGGGGAGAGATTTCTATAAAATAAAAGCTTTGTAGTTTCAATAAAGAGAAGGTAGTGTTACCTAATTCACTCCCCTCACCCCCCGAACTACGAACTGGTTTGATCATTCCCAATTGTGGTGTGTTCACTTCCCAAATCGTAGAAACTAACATTCTAGATGATTGTAAGGTGTAATAGCTGATATGTAGGTGGTAAGTCCAAACCCATGAATAAAAGGAAATGTAGTCATTTAAGTCAACCTCTTGATATATTCATTTAGTTGCATCGTTAATTCAATGAATGATATTTTTGAATAATTTTAATATAAAGTATCTATTAGCATGGGAGAGAGATTAAGTACTAATACTACATCAGAATTCAACGAATAATCAAGGGAAAGGTGCATAATTAATTCAATGAATGCTGTTTTTAAACATATAATATGAAGTATCTATTATGTAAATATAAAATTTAGAATAATTAACAACGACCCAAATTACATCACCGACTATGCCTACCCCAACGAATTCGTACCATAGAAACTAGTCAACGGTGGAACCAGGAATTTTTTAATGGATGGGCTAGCTAAAATTTTTAGCTTAAAATATATTGTTTTTTTTTAAAACAAAAAGAAGGAAGCAAAAAATCAAAACTGTAGCTTACACGTTTATGATCTACACGTGGATGCTAGTCATTGGTTTAAAATAACAGAAAACAAAATTAGAAAAGCCTTCAAGAATCACATATGGGGCCATATAGGTTTTTTGCCTTCAAAAACTCCCCAAAAGGAAGCAGACTTGTTGTTGGCCAATATAGATATAGGTTTTTCCTTCAAAAGCTACCTGGGCTACAGCCCACCTTAGTCGTGGCTGTGGTTCCGCCCTTGAAACTAGTGAACCATGTACCCTTTTTCTTTCCACGTACTGTATTGTTCCCTGTACCAGGTAACATTGCCTGGGCAGCCTACTAGGCCTAGCTGAGCCAATTAATAGCTCTGACTCCTTTTGTGAACCATGACAGGGTTTTATTTTCACTTCTATATTCTTTCAGTTACTTAAAATTTTTATTTTCCCCAGGGTCGCCTGGCTGTTTGTAATCTAGCTTGTGAGGGGTTAAGTGGGACAAGTGCTACCCTTGATCTTACCCAGAGGAAACTCTACATTGGGGGCTTGTCACCAAATGTCACAAGTGAGATGCTGCTCCACTTTTTTGGCAGGCATGGTGATATAGAAGAGGGTTCAGTTGCATATGACAAAGATACAAATGAGTCACGGTATAATTAAACTTTCCTCATTCATTATGTCGAAAAACTTATATTCTCTACCTGTATCCTTTCCACAATATGTTTGCTGCCAACTGTGCAATGATTGTGTTTTTCTTTCCTTTGTAGTGGGTTTGGCTTTGTTACATTCAGGACAGTGGAGGCTGCAAAGAAGGCCATAGACGATCCGCAAAAGACCCTTGGGGTTAGTGAATGATAAGCCTTATGTCTATTGGTAGCATTTAATTTAGCTTCTTAAATGCATGATCCGTCGATAATAATCCTGAGTGGGTTTATGCCCAAAATAGTTTTCTGTTGTTGGGCGTGCAAATATTTGTATGATTTTAGAAACAAATTGAATTAATTTCCTGGAAATATTTAATTTCAAATACTACATGAGAATGATTTCCAATGTTTTTGTCCATGTTTTCTGTTTAAATGTGAATAATGTGTAAAGCCTCACGCCAGATTTTGTTTTGGTTTCTGAGATGTATTTTTACCTCATTATCCTTAGGGATCATTGTTCACGTTGCTTCAATTATAGCAAATGATCACTAAATGAAATTGGGCAATGGGACTGTGATTGGGATATGTCTGGGAAGAAGTTGCTTAAGTGAAATTGTCTGTGCATGCTTTAAAAAATGATTAATTATCTGCTAGATAATGTTTGCTTCTAGCTTTTATGTCTTTTTGAATTTGCAAATTTTATGTAACTTTTTTTTTCTTAACATGGTGGTTGCCCGTGCTTAGATAATGCTACTTGTATTGTTGTAATTTTCTTGAGGTGGTGACCACATGGTGTATGGTTGGGGTTCCAGCTCCGAGAAATGCCTTCTGAGTTGTCTGAACTCAAGTTGAGGAACGAACTGCTGAAGCCTTGTAGTTTGACTGTTTCTTTATTATTTCTAAAATAATTCTAGCAGAAGAGAGCATGTGAAGAAAATAGGGAGGAAAGGGATGTTATTTCGGATAGGAGCAGATTTTGATGACTTTATGGGCTTATTTGTCTAAGAATTTGAGGGACGTTTCCTTTTGTTAATTCATCTTGCTTGGGCATTCATTATGAATTAATTGTGATATTTTTCTTATAAAAGAAGAAGAAAGAAACCTGATTTCTCAGATTCATTTGTTTTTCATCAGGTAACATAGCTTAGTGCAGCTTCTATGTATCTGCCATTGTGGTTAGATCTGTAGTCCCTGGCAAACAAATTCCTATTAGCACATGGAAGCAATTGTCTAAAGTTTATGTTTGGTTGCAGGGGAGGAATATCATTGTGAAGCTGGCTGATTCCCACAAGGGCAGAACAGTACAAGCACAGCTACCCCCAGCAATGGTTCCGATGGCCTTACCTCTAGCGGCTGGATATCCCCAGCCTGGAAAAGCACATGCAGGCGCAACCCCTGTTGGCTACGGCTATCCTCAAACTGTAGCAGCATACCCTGATTCTTCTTACCCAAGTCCTCCCACAGCTCCATACCAGGCACAATCACAAATTCCCTATCCATATTACATTGGCAAACAATGATTGATGACAGTTTTCAGGGTGTGGTAATATTCAAGTTCCCTTGCCTTCTTTTATTTTTACCATGATTTTATTACGATTACGGCCAATTCTGATTATATTTCTCTCTCTCTTGACATGCTTGGTTTTGCAGGCCTCTAATGTGCGCTGGGAGTCGTAGATGGCATAGAAGCTATATTTCTGTGAGGGGGGTGTCTTACTAGAAATTTTGCTTATTGTTGTAATATTAGGCCGGAATAGTTGAAAATCTTTCATTTGTCAGTAGGTATAGTTTACTTTTTACTAATGTTATAATTGGAATAATGTTTTCCATATGGGGATGGGGAGACATTGTTAAATGAGATACTGTACTATAGTTTAAAATGTATCTGTCAATCCATATGTACAAACTTACTTATTTATTCAGGCCGAATTTGTTGACACTGTTTTGAGAAGAGATGAACTATACATTTCCATGAGAACACAAATGGGAGAACTTCAAACAAGGGTCACTACCTTACAATATGAAAATTAGTAAATGCTCAACGAATGTTGGATGTTGAAGTTACTTTATCATTCATTTGAATAAAGAAAAAAACTATTTTTGTAAACGAAAAATGTCCAAAATGTCAATTAGCTGCTGTTTTTGTATAATTAAAAGTTAAAATTAATTTAGAGTTCCAAAAAAAGTTTAAAACGAATTTAGTAATTTAATTCTACTTTCATAATCAATTGCATATAAAGTAACACACTTTTTTTCATAATATAAACCCAGTTAGAATATAAATTTTGAAATAACACTTTTTATAATTTATTTTATTGTCCCTGCTCTTTTAACTTGTACACCGGCTCGAGGATAGGGATGACAATGGGTCGAATTGGGGTTGGGTATGTCATTCCCATCCCTATACTCGTTAAGCTTTTTTCCCATTCCCGCCTTCATACCCGCAATATTCATATCGGGGATTTCCCATTCTCACATTCGTTGGGGAATGGGTTCCCCGACCGGCCCCATTACGGAAAAAAAAATCAATATATAACTACTTTGTTGAAAGAAAAAAAAATTACTAAGGCAAGATAATGAATATATATATAATATACTTATAAGACAATATAAGAATGTTTATATATGTACTGGAAGTTAACTAAATAAATAATTAGTGTGGCTTAAGATTTGTATAAATTATATAAGTATATAATATAATAATATAAAATATAAAACTGTACAATCACTTTAATAGCATATATATATATATCGAAGAGGGTTCGGGTTAGGGATTAAAATACCATCCCCGCAAAATTCCATGTACCCATCCACATACCCCTTTTTGGTTCTTCATACCCGACCCATTAGGGTCGAATCCCTGCGAAGACCCTTACTCGCAGGGAAAATTGCCATCCATACTCGAGGAAAATACTTCCCTCATTCCCTTGTAAGTAGGAACTGTTATATTCCTACAAATGACAGTATGACATGTGTGCATAATTTTTTCTTTTTAGATTTTTAATGAATTATTTTCGAGCAAGTCAAACTGTGGTTTTTAGACGAGCTCGCTTATTATCTGCTGTATTCTTTCTTTTTTGTTTGTCTCTTACTTCTGCATTGGATGGAAAAGTGGCTCTCAAACATCATTCCCAGCGCCGGTGATGTGCAATATGATAAGAGAACCAATTGGGGAATTCAGTTTGAGCGAAGCTCAATTGCTTCGCAGATCAATGCCAAGAATTGAATCTGCCTCTCAATCAGCAGCAATGCGGCAAACTCTGCAGCTGAAGCTCTAAATCTTTCTGTGTAGCGGGAGGAGGCGAGCTCATCTGCCCGCATATATGCATTTATATCCCATTGTCCCAAGGTACTATGTTTCATCCCAAAAGACTTCAACTTTCATTTATATTCAGCTGAATCTTGGCCTTTTAGGTTTTCTGATAATCACTAGGCTTGAAATCTCATCAAACTGGTTATGACCCATTTGCACAAATTAAGAACAGCATCTGTTCTCAAATGGGTTTCTTCAAATTTTGATGAAAACCACCTTAGATCAGCAAGAACCCCAATTCAGCTAATTGGGTACTTCCCCAATGGCCAAACCCCTAGGTTTTACAAAACTGAAAGGTCTCCTGTAACTGAAAGTTGTGAAAACGTGGATAGAACTTCGACTGGTAATGGCAAAATTTCTGGTCGAATTTCTCGTGCTGTTAAAAAAGAAGCACAAGCTGCATTGTTGGATTATTTAATTCTTAACTGAATTTGAGTGACAAATCAACAAAAGAAAACTGAAGTATGGTATGGATGAAGGTGATAATCATGATTAGGATCTTTGTTTATAATGATAATCAATTCTAGGTTAGATATGAATATTGTGTTTGAATTGATTGGTTTCTTGCTTGAAATTGTATAATGAAACTTTAAGAATATAGTTTTCTATGTTCGTGAAGGTTGCATATGCATTTGATTATTTGAAATGGTATATTTTATTTCTATTTCACTAATCTCTCCTAAACTATAACATGTATCTCACATTCATCCTTAAATTTGAAAATGTCCCACTTAAACAATGATTAGCGTGTTTAAGGGAAAACATACAATATTGCTAAAGTTCAAAAACTTGAAGGCTTATATACAGATTCAATCTTTCCTTGCCCGGGATGATGAATTGACAACCTAATAGTTGTGTGTGAAGCTGGAGGAGTTGTTCTTTGTTGATGCCATAGCTCAAAGCCGTTTTACATCGTGCCATCATTTGTGTTACAAATCAAGCGCTGTAGACTCAGTTTTGTTCCTTCTTGTCTGGCCCTGCCCAGGGGCAGTCAGTGCGACTGCCCTGGGCCCATTATTCAAGGGGGCCCCAAAATTTTTTATTATAATAAGTTTTATATTATATTATAATAAATTGATTTAATATTTTTCCATAATTTTTAGGAATAGGATATTGAGATGAATTTGAAATTTTGGAACAAAGGATCCATGACGAGAGTTTTAAAAGAAATTCTTTGATATTGGCTTGACTTGTATTCTTGAAATTCTTTGACTCACTGGTATGGTATCCATAGTTGGACATTTGTTTTCATTATTTAGGAATATGGAAGACATTGCTCAGTCTAAAAATATTTTCAAATAGGGTAAATTACTTAAATGGTCCCCAAATTTGTACGCGATTTACATTTTGGGGCCTTAATTAAATTATTCGTTCAAATGGTCCATGAACTCTATATTAATCGCTCCATTGGTCATACTGTCCAATTTTCTGTTAGATTTAACCAAATTTTAGGGTAAATAATGATCAATTTGCCCTCATATTTAACGGAAATATTGACAAAATGCAACGGTAGGACCATTGGAGCGAATAATATAGAGTTGATGGACCATTTGAACGAATATTTTAATTGAGGCCCCAAAATGTAAATCGCATACAAGTTTGAGGACCATTTGAGTAATTTACCCTTTCGAATAAATACTTTCTCAAAAAACTCAATGCTTAGTTGATAAAACAAGAAGTATACAAGTATTAGTGATTAATGTGTGTAGGGCACATTTTAGATTTTCGCCCTGGGCCTTTGAAAACTCAGGACCGCCCCTCTCTCTCTCTCGTTTGGTTGGAATGTAGAATCATGGAATGGCTACGTAAATTTATCTCACAGAGTAATCAAACCAAAATTTAGAAAGAAAGAAAAAATGTTGAAATGAGGTGCTTTTCTTTATTGAAATGAAAATGTAAAAAGATTTACATGGAATTAGAATTGGAAGGTTTTGCATCACTGCTACATGCATAACAAGTCCATGTATGCAAAAGACATTTTATATTTTCCAAGTTAATAAAAAAGTAGTAAGGAAATGGGTAGTGCCACACTACAAAAAATTTTACTGCATGCCATGGCTATTTTTCAGATGAGTGGCTAAGCATTTTCACTCACAATCGTCTCGTGTATCTGTTACACGAGCATTATAAAATAGTTCACTAAAAACTTGTTTGGATGTAAATATAAACAAATCGCGAAGTAAATTTGCACTACTCTTTGTTCTTTTTTTAAATCTCTTTTTTTCCTTTATCCTGTGCACTCATTATTTATTTTTAATTTTTTTTTTTTTATAAAAGCGATATTAGAGGAAAGGAATTTCAAACACATGACCTTAAGTAAGTACATGACTAATATTGCCATTAACTACTTAAGCTGTAAATCCCTTGTCATTGCTTTTTATTATATAAGAAAGAAAGAGGAGTGCGAGGATATATTTTTGGAGTATCAATAGGCCCTTGAGATAGAAGCTCCTTGTTACATCTAGGGCATGTTTACATATCAGTAATGGAGAAAGTAAGGAATCAGAGGATTTAGGAATCGGGGAACTACTGAATCGGTATGGGAAGAATCATTCCCATTAAGCTGTTTACTAAACATATGAAATTAGCAAAGGAATGGGGTTGATTCCCATCGTTATTGTTTACTAATTTTCATGAATCAGAATCCAAATTAATTTGATTACTAAAATGCCCTGCACATTTTCACCACAGCACATATATAATTAATCTAATATAACCTCCCTCCTCCTGGCATGCCAATTTTGAATGGTGTCCCTTATTTCTAAAACCCCTAAAATTGCGAAGTCGGAGACTGAGACTTTTGAGCAAAAGAAAAAAAAGAGTCGGAGACTGAGAACCGTTCGGCAACAAAAATATTGTAAGGCAGACCCTCAACCTGAAGGCAGCAGCGGTATGAGATAAGGAAGGGATTGACCTTTCTAACGCATATTCAGTCGTACCGGCATGGCCCCACTACAGAGGAAGCTCTGAGTCTTGTTCAGTAGAGAGGCGTTGCCGCATATCCATCAAAATCTCTAAGGTAATATTTTCTCCCTAGACTTCATGTTCATTTCTGTTCAGCAGAGAATACCTTTTGGGTTCTAACTTCTAATAATCACTAGGCTTGGAATCTCATCGAAATGCTCATGACCCGTTTGCAAAAACTCACAACAGCATCTGTTCTGAAATGGGTTTCTTCTAGTTTTGCTGAAAACCACCTTAGACTATCAAGAACCCCACTTCAGCCAATTTTCCCCAATGCCCAAACCCTTAGGCTTTACAGTTCGAGAAGAGGTCTTGAAACTGAAAATTCTGTAAACTTGGAGAACACTGTGACGTCTAATGGAGAAAATGCTGCTCGAATTTCTCGAATTATTATAAAAGAAGCACAGGTTGCATTGTTGGATTATTTGCATTGTACTAGAGGCTTGCAGTTCATGGATGCAGAAAATATGAGTAAAAACTCGCCACATTTTCTTGAGAAGCTGTTGAGAAGGGTGGATAATGAAAATGAAGATGAAGTTGGGTGGTCAATTGCCCGGTACTTGAGGTATCACCCTATTAATGAGTTTGAACCTTTCTTTGAGAGCTTGGGCTTAAAACCTTCTGAGTATGTTCCTTATCTTCCGCGTAGTTTGATGTTCT